TGAGATAATGAATTAGATGTGTATATTTTGTGACTTTTTTATCTCACAATTCAGACTTTTTTTTCTTGCAATTCTGACTTTTATTTCTCAGAACTATAAGCTTACATCTAGCAATTCTGACTTTTTTCTCTGAATTCTGAACTTACATCTTGCAATTCAGTTTTTCGCAATGGAATAAAAAGTTAAAAAGCTAATTGTGACTCTTTGCTGTTGAGAGTTTATATTTCAGTTCTGAATTTTTTTCTCAGAATTGCATGTCTATATCTTGTTTTTCTGAGTTTAAATCTCACAGTTCTTAGAATTGTAAGAAAAAAGTCAGAATTTGTGAGGTATAAACTATATATAAAAAAATAAGCTTACAAAGTATAAAAATGTCAGAATTTTGAGGAAACATTCTGTTTTTTTATTCTGTCGGAAACAAGCTTCCATAGTAGTGTATGCATGTATGAAGCCACTGTTTGTTTGTTTGTTACTACTGCTTATTTAAAAAAAAAAAAAGATAATCTATAATTTTGTATAGCCTAAATAAGACAAATATTTTTATCCTTTGGTTTGCATCCATCAAATAAAGCCAAATAAATTCTAAATACTTTACAAATGAGTGGTAATTCACTAATTATATCATTAAAAAAAATCAATATAATTATATCATTAAAAAATAATTGATTCAATTTTACTGTAAATACAATACAAATGGATAGTATTATATAATAATTATAATTATGTATAATAATCATATTATTGAAGTGTATACTTTACTGGATTTTACTATCTATATATTAAATATTTTACAAATAAATGGTAGTTCATATAATTTTATAATTAAAGAATTTAAGTTATTGGATTGTACTAATTTATTGTATGTATTTATAGATAATATAAATATAGATATATATACACACAATTTCTTATGAAAATAAGTAAATTGTGATATAAAATTGCTTGTACCATGATAAAAGATTCTGATCACACTGTCTACCCCTAGTGTGTGACATCATTGTTTACTCTGTGCTAAGGCCAAGAGCACAGTCTCCAGCAGAATCATATCACTGCCGGCGCTCTCTCTTACATGCAGATTCACAAATAAACACATGCCACCTGCGCTCCACAACAGCACATTTCTCTGGTCCAGGTGTGGGCCCTGACCATCTGCACCGTGCCTCTAATTACTACACCACCGTGTGGAATCATTTAAGCGGTGTTTATTTGCGTATGCCCACATGCGAGCGGCTTTTGGCTCTGCCACCCTGTGTGTATGTGCTATCTGCTGGGCACACGAGGAGAAGCAGAGTCACTGTCTCTTCGCTGGCAGGCACGCTTCTTTTGCTTTGAGCCAGTAGAACAGGATTTACGAGCACCTGTCACAGAGGTATGTGTCTCCTCTCCTCCCCCACCAGCGCAAATCATCAGGGCCACCCAGTCCCTGCTATCGTTTTAGCACTGTACAGTGTGTGTGTTTGAGATGTTCTGTATACACACCAGATAATAACTGAAAAATTATGGACACCACCATTCTGCATCTGATGTATGTTTAAAACACTGCATATATCTCAGCAGTTATGAGTCCCTGCTGTCCGTGACTGTTTATACAATGGACAAAGTTTAACAACATGTAACATCCACAACATATACAATACAAATCATGCTGAGAATAACACTCTCCACAAGGTGCCAAAACACAATCTTTGGCCATTATGTGCACAAATATTTTATGTACGTACTTAAAAAAAAAAAAATCTATTTTTACATATTTTTCATAGTTTTTGGCTCTATTTTGCACTTTTTTCCCATTGGATACTTCACTTTAGTCATCATTAAAGTGAGTCTTTTTTTACAAGAAAGCATAATACATGGTTTTATTTTTCCTAAAATTGATAGTATTGTACCTCTACTTTTTCAAGTAGATTGTGTGTGAATTATACAGAGACTTTTAGGGAGCTTGACATTTCAACAGGAATTTTTCAGGTCACACCGTTAACTAAACATCATCTCATATTAAACATGGAAACATTTTAGTAGCTTATTTGTAATATGCAAGTGTTTTTTCCAAGTCATAATGACAGTGTTAATGTTTTGTCAATATTCCATCCAATGATGATCCTAATGAAAAATACTCGGGTACCTTAGTGACCTGTTGCTATGGTTACTACTTCAGGCAAAGACAATTTATGTCTGTGAGTGTTTATTGAACCCATAGATTTTTTTTTATGTTTTAAAAAGAAGTCTCTTATTCTCACCAAGGCTGCATTTATTTCAGTGCACCCAAAAAAGTACACACATTAATATTGCAAAATATGAATACAACTTAAAGTAACTGATTTCTATTTGAACATATTTTAAAATGGCAAAGCTGAACTGTTGATTAGCCATTACTCCAGTCTTCAGTGTCACATGATCCTTCAGAAATCATTCTAATATGCTGATTTGCTGCTCAAGAAACATTTCTTATTATTATCAATGTTGAAAACAGTTGTGCTGCCTCATATCTTTCTATTTTATTATTTACTTTAAATTAACCATAACTTGTTCTTTATACACTTAATGAACATTTTCCCAAGTCCCATTATTCTGAAAGCTGAAGCATTGTTTAGAAGTTCAGATTATGAATTATCTTAAATGACAAACACTTCATTTATATTTAAAAGAATTAAACAACTACAGGTAACTTGTGAGATCTTGAGATTAGCACTTTTTACAGTAATACAGTGAATCATTTAAAATCTCTCCTGACTTCAAGCACTGCAGTGATCCTGCCTAACTGTGTGTGTTGTTTGCTTCATCTTTCTCTCTGTGTGTGTTTTGAATGCAGCAGAGCTGCAGAGGGAGGGAAGCATCGAGACGCTCAGCAATAGTTCTGGCTCCACCAGTGGCAGCATTCCCCGAAACTTCGAGGGCTACCGGTCCCCTCTCCCCACTAATGAGAGCCAGCCCCTCAGCCTCTACCCCACCGCATTCCCCTAAAACCAGCCGTCTCAGACCCAAGGAAACCTCTCTGTCGCCTTTGGACAATCTTGACAGTACAACCACAACGCATCACCCACGAGAGAGGCCACACTCTCACCCTGCATCCTGCTCTCCTATATAATTTCTCTCTTCTTTGAAATGTGGATTTTCCTTTAATCAAACACGGCATGCAGGAAAACAATGTTCAATCAGGCCCGGTGTTAACATCCTTCGTCATTCACTTCCCTTGTAGATTCATTTTAATGTTGCCTCCACCTGAGAGAGGGAGAGAGAGAGAGAGCGCGAATATTAACTTTGATGGGTTGGATGTACTGTAGAAGGGATCCATTGGAGTTGCCACTTTTCTCAAAGATGTGTCATATTACCAATATCATTATCAATCGAACTTCCAGTGCGTATCTTTATTGAATGCATGTGCGTGAGTGAGAGTGTGTCTTCATCAAATACGAGTCCTGATTATCTCTCAGTAGTTGAGTTTAGGTTTGAGCTTAGAAAGCGCTATGCTGATTTTTTTTTTTCTGATCAACACATCATTAGACAAATAGTGTTTGATAGATTTTAGTAAACGTGTACTGTAACATTTGAATTGATTTGACTTTTATAGGTAATCAAACATGGTTATGTTTACCATTTAATCTTGTGTTACATTATAGTGTTCATTATTCCGCACATTTTTTTTCTGTATATTTGATTTTTTTTTTTTTTTTTCAGTTTTTTGGATTCAATTTTATTTGCTTTATAAATGAAGTAGTTTCAAATTATTTAAATTCCTTTTCAATTTAGGGGGAAAATGAAACGTATTAATTTTTTCAAAAGGGATTTTTGTGTTCTAATGTTTCCTTGTTTGATTGGCTTTAATAGGATGTGTGCGAGGCTGATATTTAGCAGTGGTGCTCTCAAGGATCCACAGCAAATTTCATTCAGCTCAGGTGATTTAGACACTACCCAAATGTTAAAAAAGTAGTTCCATCATTATCATTCTCATTATTATCATCAATAATTTGTATTAGCTTATTTAACTATTTAAAAAGGCTTTGTTTGAAGAACTTGTTTGACTGGATGTAATATTTTACATACACTCACAACACATAGTTATTGATAAATACCGATTAAACAAGAAATGTGAATACATGGTCCTAATCATCAGCTTGTCAAAAAGCTTAAAGAGCCTGCTGTTGGCTGATAGCACTGTGCATGTTGAAAGCCTCAGTAGCTGGAGAGGAAACATGAAGAGTTTGTTCACCGTAATTTATTACGCCATTCAAGTTGGCATGACTTTAAGTCTGAATGCAGTGCACATGCTTTGGATGGACTATATTTTTTGTAATAATACTTTCGCGATGTGATCTTGAAATAGGAATTTATGCAAGTGAATTTAGCGAGTCTTCTATACATTTGCGTGTTTGCGTAATACAGAATATGCATTCTGACTTCCTTAGTTTGTTGTTTTCCCTTGTTAACTTACTTGCTCTCTCCTGAATATATTTGTTATACAAAAAATAAATAAAAAATAAATGCATTTAAATTACAAGATAAAAATCTGGGCCTGAGGCTACAAATCTCAATCACTGCCTTTGTTTAGGGAACTGTTTTTTATCATCACGAATCTTCCACAGGCTTCAGGACAGGCTGAGATTTCTTCCGTCACTGCTTTAGTTGCATGTGTGTGAGCTTTGTTTCGTGATATTATAATGAAAGGTTTATTTGCAATTATATAGAGCAGCTGAATTTTCCAGAACAAGCTGTCTGTTGTTAAACTTATTTAGGAATTTATCAATATTATAAATGTGCTCTTAAAATATTGAACTTGCAAAATTATTTTAAACATGTTGAGTAATTATATCTGATAGGAAACAATATAATGTGTATACAAAGTGCCATTTTCTTATAAAAACATTATTATGCAACTTGACCTGATGCAGTAGACCGACAAAATCACAAAAAAGCCATTGTTGTTATCATAGTGATTTTTATTGTGCCGAGTCAGACAAGCAGAAATGTGTTGCATGCAAAGAAGCAAAAGGTAATTTTTTTCACTTTTCCATTCTCACCAGCATCTTAAAGCATCTTCTCAACGCTTCCACCTTACACACACACACACACACACACACACACACACACAATCACCCTTATACAGTAATGCTGCACACAGTGTCTCAAAGGCGACGTGAAGCAGTCATGACGGTGTGGAGGACAGTGGCAGAGCTCAGACTCTCCATCTGGGAAGGTCGGCCCTCGATTCTCTCTGTCTTCTTCCAGACCGCCAGTGCCACCTTATCACTGGAGCGACAGCCTATAAATACCAACAGAAGATAGTAGGCATTTCAGTGAGGAGTGTCAGAGGTTTCCTCCTTTCTGCGGGGTCAGAAGGCTGCTGTGCAAATTTGTACATTTAGTTAAAGAAGCATTAATCTATAAACAGTCTGCCGTTTAGTCACTGTGGCACTGATACAGAATCTACCAAGAGTCAATCAGTCAAGGCTTGTTGGCAATACATGTAAGATTTTGTGGCTGTTTGTTCCAAAACACTCCTTGACTTCTCTACACTCCATGTATCCCAATGGGAACGGGCTCCATTCAGTAACAGGCTGCTTTCTGGCACGGCTGCTGGTCTCTCCCCCCTTTGGAGGTCATGCATCCCTTAACTACGAACTGAACTAATGGCAGCTCCTCTTGAACCATAAACAGAAAACATAAGGTTAATGTCTTTGAAGGGGAAAAAATAGTGAATCTCAACCACCTTAGAATAAAGTATATTTTACTGTTTTCTTGTAGGTATTTTTCTTAACACAATAACCAAAAATCCAGTAACTTGTTTTTCATTTTATATCTGCATGAAGATCTCTTTTGGCCCCATGCAGCCCTGTTTTCTGGATGTGGAAATAAAAGCTTGTACATTTGTACTAGCTTTGCTGATTTTATTCGCATAATGCATTGTTTATAGAGTTTAGTGGACAAGATTTTATTAAAAATAAAAAAGACATTAACCTTGCTAAAATTTAAGAACATTAATATACATCATTCAGGTAAGCGTCTCTTTTGATCAGTATATTTTGTATAGAGAACAATCTTAGTTGGGATATATCTTTTTTTTACCTTTCAAAAAAAGGTAACAGGGTTGACAGTTTTACCTATTACAAGTCTTGTGTGTTGAGTTCATGGCACTACAAGGTGTTTAAGATGATATAATTCTGATATTTATACAAATATCCTTTATTCAATCAACAACTGTTTAGTACAACAAAAAGTTTAAAATGTTTTGTACAAAATGTGACTGACAGTGCAATGTAAATAATAATATCATGTTGGGATTCCCAACATATTATTATTTACATTGCACTGTCAGTCACATTCATTATATTTTAAAGGCATTCTTTATCTGATATAAATGTTTAAGAAAGTCACTTCACAAATGCTTTGGTGAAAATGTATAAAAGCGTCATTTCCTGTAGGCCTAATAACCAAATTATTCGCGCGGTTCGAAGGAGCTAAAGTGTTCTCCACACAATGTATCTGCTGTATTCTACATTAGCCTATTTACGAAACATATTTTCCAAAATAAATAAATGTTTGCAGCCAGGGGCTGGTTGGTTGGAGGTTGGCTGTTGCCTTCCAGTAAACCGTAGACAATCGCTTCGTGTTGTAATATGTTACTTGTCAATCAGACGAGGCGTGTGAAGCACTCATCTCCACAACTGTTTGAGAGACAGTAAACTGAATAATATCTGACAGGTCCTGTGGGATTAAAGGGGTCAGTGTTGACAATAATGTGTGACACACTATTTTTCAATTAGCTGCTGAATAGCTTCGATTAGATCAACTTATCTTCAGGATCCCCACACCACACCTGGACGCGCATCTCATCAGCGTCCTGATCGAAACGGTGGGCGTCTGTTTGCTACTCACAGACTCAACGCTAACAGATACAGTGAGAACAATCTTCCTTTATCTTGAAGTCATTCTCACTGAATAGCGCTGGATTGATTGTGAAAGGGTGGTTGTTTTATATTATTGATGTTACTACGCAGAGTTCCCCCCCTCATCCCTTATTTCTTATCCTATTACAATGACAAGTAGCCTAATCTTTACTATTTGAGTCTGTGGAAAAACATTATTTAGTATAAAGTGTATAATAAAGTATATTTAAAGACATTAATTATAAAGTCGGAAACACACATTGGGTACATGCAAATCGTATATAATATAGAAAATATGTTTATTTATTCACACTGCACAATAGCCTACATTTTGGAGGTGATAAAATGATTAGTATTTTACAATTGTTCGTTGGAGAGTAAAGTAGGCTACCTAAAGTAAAGCTACTTGTTTACAGTGAGTTAATATAATCTCAGTAAAGTAAAATAATTACCTAGATGTGTGCAGAGTAATAAAATCTACAGCATTCGTATTGCTGTTTTAAAACAACAGGATAACCGTCACAAAAGGAAGTGAAAATAATAAAAAATAAAATATTAAATAGCTATTTAACGAATGATACGTCTATTTTTTATCTCATTCCGCTGTTGTTATTAAAAAAAAACATATTAAAACTCCAAATGGAACTGTATATTACTCAAAGTAAAAATCCAACACAATACATTAGAAACCTTAAGCTCAATTGTTGTTACAAGTTAAATTAATGGAAACAAAGATGTTTTAACATAATGATGAAAAACGTTTAGTGCTGAACCTGGTTAGTGTATCATTACATTAGATCTGAAAGGCAATCTACAAATATTTATTAACAAATAACTTTAAAATTTACAAAACGGTAAAGCACTTGTTGCATATAAACGGAGCATGATGCTTCATCGCTGAAGTGGAAATGATGGACTCAGTCAGCATCACACAGCACAAAAGCTCAGGGGACCGAGAAAGTCCTCTCTCTCTCTCTCTCTCTCTCTCTCTCTGTGTTTGTCATCATAAAGGAAACAAATTAATCACTGATTTAATTACTAATACAGTGTGATATTTACATGTGTAGCCTTGCTGTTCACACCTCTACATATCAGCTTCATGGCTAATATATGTTAAATGTGTTGCTTCTTGTGATTCTAACATTTTAAAAATGTTTTTGGTTACACAATCTATGGTTGTATCAACAGGTTATTGCTAAAGCATGAAACAGAGCCTGTTATTATTTTCAGTTGTTACGGATGTTTGCGAAACACAATTATCAATGTGTAATACTTAACATTACTTAGTATAAAATAACCGAGCTAAGCGTTCAGTGTGTTAAACTCATGCTTGAAAAAAAATGTTTTATATTGAATTGAGAGAAAAAAAACGGGTTTCCATACTAGACCACATTTTTTTGGTTTGCTTTTGTCTCTGATGATGGCACTACACGGCACTGAACGGGCAGCAGAACCAGGTAAAATAATTCCCTGAGGTCATTAGAGCGCCCCCACCTGTTACCTGAAAAGGTGTAGCTTCTAATAACCATCATGCCGTGCTTCGCCCAAATCAATTTAAGCAACAGATTTAGTCATTTTGGGTTGATTCTGAAAGTTCAGAATTATTAAAGCATTATGGGGAAAATACTGGAGGATTTGCTGATGCTATTGAATATGATGATTGCATGAATGATTTACCATTTCCACCAAGAAAACTAAAAATATAAAAAATATCTTGATTGTTTTGAAGCGATTGTTGGTTGATCACTGAAGCCGGTGCATATTTATTAATTCGAACCTTCTTTTTTCCCTAAATGCCTAAAACCAGGGAACCTGTTTCTCTACAAACTATATCTTTATCACTATTAATAAATGCCTATAATATATAGTTAACTACGAACGCCTTATAAAGATAACATGTCGCGACTCGCTTTCAAACAAAGGCTAATATGTCTTGTAAAAATACAACAATGAAATTATACAGTGTAGCAATATTTCTGCAGTGTTAGACCTAATAATTGTGAATTCGACTGTTTCAAAAAAGTTACAACCAAATTATGATCCGTAACATATGATAGTTTGGTTTGGCTCAAATTTTGATGAACATTTTCTGACAAATAGTAGGTTAAATTTTTAAAACCCACTTATGAGGACATCTACAGTGGTTCTCATTCATAGAAATCATGTTTTGTTCTAAATCTATTGAAATCAACAGGTTTGAGGATTAGGGTGGGGTTAACAATAGCATCACCTCGGAATAAAGATTATTGTGCTACGTGTTTTATACTAACATGTGTTTTATTTATAACATGCTACGTGTTTTATAGTTTCAAGGAATGGGCTTTTAGATTTGTGGAGTATTCTATTGCAAATATACTTCTGGGCAAAAGGAGAGTGGGAGCGAAGAAGCAGAGCACCAGAGCTGTCTATAAAATTGTTGTCTCGCATCCATCAGGTACAGCATGTCCACGTCCAGAGGAGGTTCTGCTGACTCGGTTGGGTGGGTGATACAAAATGGGCTATGCGAAGAGCAAATTGTACGATTTGGCAAAATAAGCACGAGCAGATCAAATACACTGTCCTAATGAAAAAGAGGAGACACGCGGAAATGTATACATGGTGTGTGTGGATGGGAAGTAAGAATGGAGGAGAGAGAGCTGGACGGAGAGGAGGAGGAGAGGGGGCTGCTAGCTGGTGGAGGCGCTGGGTAGCTATACATGTGACAAGGGGAAATATGAGGGACTTTGACAGGTCTTCAACGGTCTGGCGCCAAGGCCTCAGTCTACTGGCTAAATATAGCAGGAGAGATGATGCAGAGAGATGATGAAAAGATGAAAAGAAGGAGCAACAATGTAAAAGCAGAAAAAAGGAGCAACGGTAATTTAATGATCAGCCCTAGAGGATCATCTGGTTTCATATATGTGAAAGGTATTGCAAAGGTTTGCGTTATCTTTTTGCAGGAACTTATTAATTTCCTTAGAACCTGGAAACACAATTAGACACATTGTCTTACAGCTGACACCGTCTCAAGGACACAAAAACTGACAGAAGCAGATCATGCATAAAAGTTTGGCACCAGGCTATTTTTAACTAATGAAAATGTCCTCTGGTCGAAGCTGATGCACATAGACACTTCTCTACATCTCCTGACAAACCTTTACCCATGTTTTTTTTTTTTGTTGTTGTTTTTTTTCATCATTACAATCATTCGGAATACAAGTGGTCATTGACTTTTCGACGCCTCGTTGTTTTGGCAGTAAACAGTGGCAGTGCTGTAAAAAGTTTTCCAGCATGAACGCTTTTTAAATCATGTGTGATAAGAGCTCAGCGCATGATTACATTCTTGTCGGTTTAGATGTGTACAGCAGGAAAAATAAATCTGGCGTAATTGCAGAGACTTTGTTGATGTGATTACTTCCTTAAGTATATACATAGAAAACCATTCCCATTCCCCATGTGTGGTTAATCTCTTCCCAATCCAAATCACTCTCCAAATCGAAATGACTGTGAAACTCAGCATATAGGAGAGGTATGGGTCAATTATCTAGCGTAATTGCAAAGACTTTGTTGATGTGATTACTTCCTTAAGTATATACATAGAAAACCATTCCCATTCCCCATGTGTGGTTAATCTCTTCCCAATCCAAATCACTCTCCAAATCGAAATGACTGTGAAACTCAGCATATAGGAGAGGTATGGGTTTGTTTTACTCTCATCAGACAATTGAGATAATGTATTTTAGCATGGCTATTAATTTTAGCTTTAAATAATGAAGATTTTATATCAGGAGACACACTACTTATTTTCTTGTTTGCCATTTCGTTTGGCTATATTTAAACATTCTCCATCATAAAAGCAGCAAAACGTTTTAATACAAAATCTGCATGTATTTAGCTATATTGTCCTACCATAAATTTTGAACATTTTTCGTTCGTATATTGATTTATTTTCATTCTGTATTATGTTAATTTGGTATTATTTTCCCGTCTTTTAAAACAAAATCGTATACTATTTAAATAATTAGCATACCTGTCTGGTAAAGGCGAACATATCCCATATTTTAGTGTCAGTTTGAATAAATCCCGCTTTAGCTCTGTGTCTGTTCACTCGTGGCTTCGGCAACAAGTGTCTGCCTACCTGGTCTGCTTTTTTTCTGTTTACGGTGCGGATTTAGCTAATATATTCTTATGCATTGTTATGTTGTGAATGCGTTATTTAACTTCTCACTAGACAGTCATGAATTTGCTAAACATGTTATCCGTGTTATCTTTGATTAATATTTAATGTTAAATTCGAAAACGCGCAATACAAACATTTTTAGAAAGATCGTTTAGCTGTTTTAATGACAGTATACTGGCGTGAGCTGCAATCCGTAATGCTCTGTAATGAAACCTATGCTCTCTAAACCATTGTATGTCTAATTTAGTAAATATCACAAATCGTGCAACTAAACACAAAAGGCCTGTATTAAACGTCCAAGCTGCCGTTTTAAAGAACAACTGCAACCGAATCAAGTTTCTGGCCAGCTGTTGACAAAAACAATACACTCTGATTTTTATTTTGTAACTTTTCAGTATTTTATAAGCTATATTTAATCACTCTATCAGGTCCTCTCTGGCACAGTAAGGGTTAAACATCCAGCCTGTCATCATGTTCTGCTGATTTGTATCGAAGTGTAAAAGCGACAACATTCCGCAAACGGTTGAATCCGTCCGCACAAAAACATAGATTGGACATTGACGCGTTTTGGAATTATTGGAAGTATTCAGTGCGACATCTGATCGAAAGGCATACACTGAAATGCTAATTTATAAAGATCACAAGTCATTTGGAGAAAAAGAAGGTAAGCGCAAGCGAAAACTTTGGCGTAAATGCTAAAGGGATTGGAGTGCACTGTTAGAGGATTTTGGAGTAAATATGAACTGACAAGAGACGGATCTTACTGCTGTACGTCAGCCGACTGGCGCCAAGCGGCTATCTAACAAACCCAATCCAAGTAAATCTAGAGTCCACGAGTGGATTTCTTAAAGGTATAGACTACACTTATGGCTCGACCCACTGCTAAAACTACAGGTCGAAAGTAGATGGTGAACATTTATAGTGGCCTGGCACTTAAACCTAAATGCACTGAGATATATGTTATTTTTCGAGCATATGCTTTTATCCGATCACCTGTGCATTAAGCGTTAGGATCAATAAAATACATGTAAATTCACGAATACAATACATTTACATTCCCTAAACAGTTGTATATTGCGACATAGGCTAGGCTATATGAAGTATATTAAAAAAGGTTAACAACCGCAGATGTCTGTTAAGAGTTAACAGTTAAGAGTAATGCAGCACTCACCAAAATTATATTTACATTGGTCTTTAGATTCCATCAACTTTCTTCCTCTTTCTTCAGTATAGCGCGTGGCTGTGCGCTTTGAATGACCCGGTGCAGAATTTAAAGTACCAATGTCCGATTTTTGGCTGCTGTTCCTCACATGAAGTCGGTCGGGACACACGCACGCAGCACGGAAATAGTTATTCACACAGTGAAACGTTGAATTCAGTTCATACGCACAACAAGGTCCTTTGGCTATGAGTGTGCAGTGCTACATTATGAACAAAATACTTGTACGCGTCACTTTGACATGAACAGCGAAAAGATAAACGCCATTTGGTGTGTTCCTGATATTTTTACTGACTATTGTGAAGTTATCCTCAATGTACGTTTTAAAAAGCATATAATATTTTGCGCTAATTAATCATAACAATTTGCACTTTTTGTTAATTTACACGTGAATAATCTTAATTCCTAGTTTTCAGTGTTTCAGTTTGTTCCTCGAACAAGGAGGCATCGTAATTATAAAGCGTAAGCCGACCGAGGTGCAGTCACCACCGGCTAAGCACTGAAGGCTGACCCGGTGCTTGGCTCGGAGACGGGGGTGGGATTTCCCGATCTTTTCTGTCATTGGTTAATATTTTATTCTGTTGACATGTTTTCTTACTGCTAATGCTTCCGACACCTTCTTGTCCACCCCCTCTCCTTGAGCCTGGCCGGAGCTGTCAAAACCACGCCTATGGAGGCCCACAATTGGTCCAGAAAGCGTAAAATCAGCAATCAAGGGGGCTTGGTTCATTAGTGCTGGGATCAGAGCAGGAAGGACATGTGAGATAGTTACAGTTGTACAGTGGACAGAGCAAGATCTAACCATTTCAACTCCGTGTCGGCGTAGAATGACTGCGCTTGAATGGACATCCGCATCGAAAGAGTAATCTTTTTATGAGAGCATCTGTTGGAGAACAGGAATCCCCAAATCTGCCTTCAAAGCGTCGTTGCGCTCACTTTGACTGATATTATTACGGGGACTTCGTGGAAACTAGCAGCTACGGGAGTTAAAGTGGAAGATCCTTACCACTGTCTTTGCTCGCCTTTTCGCGATTCACATTTTGCCAAAATTGCCTTGCTGCGCTTTTCCTCCTCGTAGTGAGACACTCTGTCGTCTGGATACGCGCTGCTTTTGCCGGAGAACACCACTAAATATATATTTTTTCACTACGATTGTTGGATGCACCGATGAGAGATCCAGTTTTTACAGGGACGGCGATGGCTTACCACCCTTTCCACGCTCACCGGCCAACCGACTTTCCTATGTCAGCTTTTCTCGCGGCCGCACATCCCTCCTTCTTCCCGACGCTGACCTTGCCTCCCGGGGCTCTCACAAAGCTGATCCCGGACCATACTCTCGCCGGAGCCGCAGAGGCTGGGCTCCATCCGGCTCTGAGTCACCATCATCAGGCAGCTCATCTTCGCAGTCTTAAGAGCCTGGAGCCAGAGGAAGAGGTTGAAGACGATCCAAAAGTCACACTGGAAGCGAAGGACCTATGGGACCAGTTCCACAAAATAGGAACAGAAATGGTTATTACGAAGTCTGGCAGGTGAGTTCACAGTTGCTCTATTTTTAGTCTTTTGTTTCAGTGTTTATACGAGGGAATATTATGATGCACTCAGCATTTCATATATATTCCACAATAAATTCGCCACGGATTGAAAAGGCTTCTTATGTCGATGGCAGTGTAGTTCAGCAGGACCAGGAAATTCATTTTTAAATCTGTCTTTTGCTCGTCGCTCTTATAAGTCATTTCCCCTTTATTTCCCTATTAATGTTTTGCGCGCTGAACTGGCTGACCTAATTATGATGTCAAAGAGACTGTAGAAATGGATGTCTTACTGTCAGAACATGTGTACCTGAACGAGTCATCTGCTCGTTTGACTTATGAAAACAAAATGGGGAAAGTACTAGCGATGCGTATTCTGTGGCTAGCAGAAGGAAAATAGCTGAGGCTTTTTTTGTTGCTTCTATCATTATCAACAAATATTGGCTTTCAAGGCACGGTGTGGCACAGTTAAATTGTGCTTTCATGTATTTCGTAAAGAAAAATGTTCCTCTTGGTCTGCTTATGTACTGAGGTGACAATAAACTATTTTATGTAAATATCCTGACACTTTCACGGAAGATTTAAGTCTTGCGGCGAGCTAAATTATCTGCAGCCAAGTGAAATGTTAATATTTGTTGAACATATGTTTTTAATGCTGTTGTTTTATTGAATAAATCTGGTTAGGGTAAACATAGCACCGAAAACGTTTAAATATTATTTAGTTGTGTTGTTAAAACGTTAAGCTTGCATCTGCCCACATATGCAAATAAAAAAAAATGGGTTATAAAATAAACAGAAATATTTCCTATTTCTACAGGAGAATGTTTCCACCTTTTAAAGCCCGCATAAATGGACTCGATAAAAAAGCCAAGTATATTCTATTAATGGATATTGTGGCTGCCGACGACTGCCGCTACAAGTTCCACAACTCTCGCTGGATGGTCGCGGGGAAGGCCGACCCGGAGATGCCAAAGCGAATGTATATACATCCGGATAGCCCAGCTACTGGGGAACAATGGATGGCTAAGCCTGTTGCTTTTCATAAACTGAAGTTAACCAACAACATTTCGGACAAACATGGATTTGTAAGTAACCCATTTTTTTTTAATAACACATTTTTGTGTGTTGCATGTAGTTCTGTTGTAATCGTGTGTTGCTGTGTAATATATAAGTATAAATTTACTGCCATCTGTGGGCTGTAAAGCTACGCTCGCAATGATTGGACAGGCTTACAATATCGCTGTTTATTACTGGACGAAGAGAATTATGGATGTGCTCGAATGTATGTTTTAGCTTACTTAATTTCCTCGGCCCGTGTAATTCTTTACTGTCGCTACATTGATCTCTTTCTTTGTTTCGGCAAGCTTATAAACCAGATATGGGGTACTAAGTCTTATTTTTATTCGTTATGAATAATGATGACAATGACAGCTTGGTTATGTAATGTAATACTTTATCCTGAGTTTTTTCTTGGCCACTGTTACCTGTATTGTTTATGATAGGCGCAGAGCGCTATAATTTTTATGAGGGGGTGGAAGTCACAAAAAATGAGGTAAAAGGAACCGGAGAGACCTTGAATCAGTTTACAAATAGCAACAGTGAAAGTGTAATTTGGGCTGTTTTGAGTGAGCGTTGCAACAAATTGCATAGCGACCTGTGCAGTCTCTGATAGTTTCAATGAACAATGTTAAGACGGATGCAACGATGCTGACCAATACTCTATACGTGATCATGCAGTCAAATATAGTGTGTGGCCTGCTCCCTTACGCGACTTGCAAACAAATCGACTGGAAACAAATGAAACATTTACATGCATAGCACAACCATTTGATTTTTGTACAGTCAGATAGAAAATACATGCATATACATTTGTGTGTGTGTTCATCACACTTTGTTGTAAACAAATTGCTTCCATAAATTGTACAATTAAGAAACTCTTTTTTATTTCAGATTTAATTTGTGTTATAATAAGTATCAACACCAAATAACTCGTTGCATGCCCGCGTGAATGTTTTCTGTCTACCTGCCACTGGCACAGGCCTGTTGTGATTTAACCCAAGAACAATATTCCACTATTACTACATATATTATGCGGTATTTATTGTCTAAAACGATTTTAAAGACTAATGACTTGAATGGATAATTATTTTGACAAGCACTAATGTTTTCCATTCCTCTTCCTCTCCTTCTCATTAGACCATCCTGAATTCAATGCATAAATACCAGCCCAGGTTCCATATTGTGAGAGCAAACGATATTCTGAAGCTTCCGTACAGCACTTTCAGGACATATGTTTTTCCTGAGACCGATTTTATTGGTGTAACAGCTTATCAAAATGACAAGGTATGTACCCATATTTGGACGAATTTAAGCAGCCGTGCTCTGGACCTTATAGATGTGCACTATATAGTGTACAACTTTACTATATGTTCGTACCATTGCTTTTCTTCTACGATGCGTTTTGCATGTTCTCAATTTGATCGGATTGATAGCTTATGTTCACTTAACAAGAGGAGTAGTATTTATAGAAGTAGTATTTTGAATATGTGAATGCAAAAGCGTATCTTTAAAAAATGTCAAATTCCTCCTGTCCAGTGGTACTTCCAGCTACAGCTCATGTTAATTGTAGTCTGTGTCCGAGGGGCCTAGTGAGCTTGTCGGTATCGTAAAGTTTATGACATAGAGTCACAATCGATTAGCAAGCACTTACGCTCGCCGGTTTGTCCGGGAGCTACACACTCTGAGGCTCAGCAATCAAAGCGTGTCAGTTACTAAACGCAAAAAGCAGAGGCCATCTAGTTTAGCAATCTATGAACTTTAAGGCCTTGGTTTCTCCTGAATTTATAGCCTACAGCGTCCAAATCACTTGGGCACAACGAAAATCGTTCTGTTACATCGCTCTGTATTTTCATGGAACTTGTAAAAACTGGCAATGATTCAAACCACACTATTAATTATTGATAGCAGGTCGGCGTCACTCATCTAGTTCGCCTCTCTTGTTCTCTCTGTTGTGCTGTAGAGAATACCAATTTGACAAATAAAAAAATGTTTGCTCGTGGAATTTTCTCAGGGGGGTCGTGATTTGATCTTTTTCATTAAACATTTTTAATAATTAAATTATCACTCTAAAGTAGCGTGTTTAACGGTGTTGGGATAATAACTGGTGATCATATAAAGGCTTTGCTTTTTAAGCATTTACATCTGAGCATTTGACTTGTAGATTATGAATTCGTGCAGCATAACATTGATAACAACAATACCACTACTGCGATTAATAATATTTTAATACCTTAGAGTTAGACTGCCGCTGTATAATTTTATTAATAATGTACAAATTATGAATATAATATAGGCCTACACATCCATTTTTTTATAAATTTTTTTTGCTTTGCATTCAGATAACACAGCTGAAGATTGATCATAACCCCTTTGCCAAAGGCTTCAGAGACACAGGGAATGGAAGAAGGGAAAAAAGGTAGGTTTTGAAACCTTTATAGTT